AAATGGAATCTGAAGCTCCAGACGTCAGGGGCTGGATGCACAGCTCGGAGAAGACCATCCAGCTGAACTAGCAGGGACTGTTTCTGTTTTCTCCGGGGCCTGTTCCTGCTGCTTAGGCATTACAAGGCAGGCATCAAGTTCTAGGAACTACTTTAATGTCCTCTCACCCCATGGGAGATACCTACACTGACACTTTTAATTAAGAGTTTGCTCACAGCAAAATCCCATCGCTGTTCTTTGTCTAGGTCATAGCAGATGTCCCAAAGTAAGAATTTTGTCTATCTGCTTAAAAACAATTTTCTGTAACAGATAATATTGTGGATAACTGGTGAATTTTAAAAAAAAATGAATTAATAAATGAATGACCAAACGAAGGCTACTGAGGAATTGGGTGCTTCCTGAACACCCACTTCATCTCATCTCCTTTCCTTTTCACTGTCAAGGTCAAAAATAAGTTAGAACATATCAGAGGGACAGAGAATGCCCTGAGGCGGTGTGTCATGAGAGCACTGCCTGGATCCTGCAGTCTGTCCAGAGGGCAGCTTGGAGGGGAAGACATTCTGCCAGCGGGAGGGGAGGAAGGGCGCTGGTCCAGCCTTGGCATGACACCCAGGCCACTGCAACCACCACAGTGCTGGAGAGGCCTGAGGGTCATCAGGCCCCCAGGGGAGCTGGGAAGCAAATCCAAGTCCACTGGGGAGAGGGAAAAAGGATGAGAATTTGAGTCCTCAGCCTAGCAACCAGGAGGAAAGTAGGGAAGCTTCCGAGATGGAAGGCAAGGTGGCGAAAACGGACCTGCATCCTCTGATCTTTGTTCACTTGCTACCTCTCCAGGCTAGACTGGAACCATTTCATTTCCTTCTTCAGAACCCAAGTTGTGATTTCTAAAATTGTCATGAATACAACAAAAGTGTTTCCATGGAGCCCACCATATGAAAAGGCAGACTGGTTCATCCGTGACTGTCCCTTACAAAACGCCAATGCAATACCTTGTGTTTTATTAATGAAGAGCATTGCCCAGAGCATCTTTTCTGTTTTTAAGTGAAAATCTTTCTTCTATTATTTGAGTCCAAATGAATCTCCTATGTAGAGAGGGATAGAGGGATCCAAGTTTTCTACTTCTAGAACGACATAATTTTTTTTTTTTTTTTTTTGGAGATGGAGTCTCGCTCTGTCGCCCAGGCTGGAGTGCAGTGGTGAGATCTTGGCTCACTGCAAGCTCCGCCTCCCGGGTTCATGCCATTCTCATGCCTCAGCCTCCTGAGTAGCTGGGACTACAGGCACCCGCCACCATGCCCGGCTAATTTTTTTTTTATATTTTTAGTAGAGACGGGGTTTCACAGTGTTAGCCAGGATGGTCTCGATCTCCTGACCTCGTGATCCACCCGCCTGGGCCTCCCAAAGTGCTGGGATTACGGGCGTGAGCCACCACGCCCGACCTAGAACCACATAATTTTCTAAAAGTTTCATTGCTTAAAATTTCACCACAACCCCACTTAGTATTACTGATGACCTTACGCTTCATATTTGAGACTCCAATGTTGATCGCTATTGACCTTGTCTCTTAAAGAAGCAATAAAAGACTTAGCTGTGGTGATGGAGTGGTATCAACGTAATAAAGAGAAAAAACAGTAAAGATACTGGGCAGGCAATGAATTTTAAAAATCAATTAATGAATCAATGCCATTTTCATTTTGTCACAAAAATCCTGAGTCAGAGACAAGGCTGGATCCTGATTTTATTGGCATTTCTGGCAATGCTAATTAAATGCAAACCCTCCACTGATTGACTGAGAAAGCACACAAGGAAAGGAGATGACTGTTATGGATTTGTGGATGCACATCACTTCAGTAAAACGCTGCAACGGTGTTTTCATCAGTAGCTGCAGGCGATGGAAAATGGCTGATGTTCTGAGCTTAGCATGTCTTAAGCATGTTAAATCATTTAAATATTGTTTATGTCAATTGATATAAACCACCACTTTGATCATTTAAAGAGGCTGCACTGTTTTATCACTTGTCTAATAGCTAGTAGCACATCAACTACTCACTTTTTTCACCTGATCTCATCTGCGGCATTCTGGGTAAACACTGGCAGAAGGCGCACAGTTTCTCAGCTTCCACAGAGCACCCGAAGCACGAGGAGACTCCTTGGGAAGACCGATCTCCTTCAAGATCCTTCATCAGTCTGGTGGATTTCAATTCTCAATGAATTTCTAAGCACACTATGATTTGGGGTGCAGTCATAAAGACAAGAAGATTAAAAAGCAAAACAGACATGATTCCCTTTTTGTTGTAGGAAAATAAGCACACAGCAGCACATAACGTCAATCGATCATAGATAACTCCTGTTCTATAACTACTGTTCTGAAGTTACCCACTGTGTTCTATTTTCTTATGTTTTTGTCATTCTGACTCCAACCAAAGTCAAAAATTTCCTAGTTTTCAACAACATGAAATATCAAAGCCTAAAAGCTACAAGAGGATCAAATCTCTCTTTCTTTAATCCTAGAAGGCCCAGGCTTAGTTAGTTAAGAAATACTGAGCAATGAGTACCCCTGGACAGGGAAGGAGGAGACATATAAGCAGAGGATGTGCTCCGTACATAAAGAAATGAGTATTTAATAGGAAAAAAATTAACCATCCAATGGAGAGTTGTTGAAAACTTGAATGCAAACACAAAATCACTTGGGGGATAATTGGAAAAAGGCAAAGTATTTGGAAATGACATGATTATAATAGCATGCTTCCTGAAGGCTGAGAGCATTAAGAGATGACCAGAATGGGTAATTGCTTCTTGAAAGAGGTGACTCACAGAACAATTAGAGGCATGGCATTAGAAAAAGAGTGAAGGAGCAAGTCATACATATAAATAAATACAGTATAAAGTTGAGCAACGATGAGAATTGGTACTATTTACTGTAAGCCATTTCTTCAAGAGAAGCATAGGAGCCACTCCTCAGTTCAAAGGAAGTCTGGAAATCAGGGCAGGAAAAGGGTCTCTGGATTCCACATGGAGTTTTGTGTGGTGCTTGGCAGTTTTTCACTCTTGTTTCTCCAATAGGCTAAAATATAAATGTTTCAAGGGCAGACAAAACCCACTATTTTTCTATCACACTGAAAACATTTGGCCAGGCAGAGTGGCTCACATCTGTAATCCCAGCACTTTGGGAGGCTGAGGTGGGTGGATCACTTGAGGTCAGGTGTTCGAGATCAACCTGGCCAACATGGTGAAACCCTCTCTACTAAAACTACAAAAAAAAAAAAAAAAGTTAGCTGTGTGTGGTGGCACGCATGCCATGCCTGTAATCCCAGCTACTCAGTTAGCTGAAGCATGAGATCTTTTGAACGTGGGAGGCAGAGCTTGCAGGTGACAGAGGAAGACCCTGTCTCAGAAAAAGAAAGAGAGAGAGAGAGGGTTGGGGGGAGGAAGGGAGGGAAGGCAGGAAGGGAGGAAGGGAGGAAGGGAGGGAAGGAAGAGAGGAAAAGAAGGAAAAGAAGGAAGGAAGGGAAACAGAAGAAAGGAAGAAAAACATTTAACAAAGGATGTTAACAGGCTTTGAATGTTGCCTCCAACATGCATTTAAAAGGACTTTACTTTGATATGATCATACATAACACTGCCATGAAACTTACAAAGTACTCCTTTAAAAGGTGATAGATAGACCATTTCACAAATCAATGACTATAAATACCAAAAATCTTAGGTACTATTTTTTAACTAATAGCACATTTATTGTTGATCAAAATTATACTTGATTTTTGAAGCCTTTGGGGAAAAAAGGTCACAATTATCTTCTCATACACGCTGCACCTGGAACTTGTCACTACAGCATCCTGTCGTGCTGCTTGGCCGTCAGAAGTGATCGATATGTTCATATTATAATCTATGATGCAAAAACACAAAATGAAAACAGCAAACTGCACACCCGGTGTATTCTGAATGCTCTTTGTTGCTGTCATATTTCAGAAAGTTACTATGTGTACAATACAGGATGGAAGTAGAAGAGTTCAACACCTGGATTCATGATTTAAAATTGTAGTTTACATTTTAAAATCTATTAGTGGATAAATTATTCAATCTGTTTACTTTTCTTCTCTTAAATCTATTTCTCACTATCGTCAAAAAAAAAATAGCCAATGAGAAATCAAATTGAACATTTGTTGCTGAAGAAAAACTGAAACTTCCTTTTTAAATTCTGATTTGAGATCAAATACTCAGAGCAGATGACATCCAGGAAGCCGCACTTGCAACACAGCTCTGGGAAAATTCCTCGTAAGTCCATGATGCCTGCTGTTTTGTTGTTGCTGTTTTTAAAGTGAATGGCAGCTCTGCTCAAAAACGTTTAAATCGATTTCAAATAAATAAAATCAACATTCTGAAGTAGACTGAGAAAAAAACCTAAAATGTTGAAAATATCCTCAATACTGATTCATGGTATTTCTTAAAATCGAATTTTCTATTATTTGACAAGTTCTGACCCTCTTAATACCCTACACAAAAAGTAAACTTAAAATGGAAAACAGTCCTGAAGAACATGCACAAAAGTGAGAACAGACTCTGAGCAGAGGAATTCAGGGTTTTCACTTTCTCCTTTTTTTCTTATCTGCATTTTCTAATAAGTCTACAACCTACATAAATTGTTTATAGTTTAACAAAGTATTAAGTTTTAAACTAGTGTGAGGTATCAGAGGAGAAAATTTCATTTACAAATATAATTAATAGGCCGGGCACAGTGGCTCACGCCTGTAATCCCAGCACTTTGGGAGGCCGAGGCGGGCAGATCATGAGGTCAGGAGATCGAGACCATCCTGGCTAACACGGTGAAACCCCGTCTCTACTAAACACACAAAAAATTAGCTGGCGTGGTGGTGGGCACCTGCAGTCCCAGCTACTTGGGAGGCTGAGGCAGGAGAATCGCTTGAACCCGGAAGGCGGAGCTTGCAGTGAGCCAAGATAGTACCACTGCACTCCAGCCTGGGTGACACAGAGAGATTCTGTTTCAAAAATAAATAAATATATATATATATGTCTACTGTAAAATGTCTACTGTAAATAAATGTAAATAAAATGTCTACTGTAAGGCATTGTGCATGCCTGACGCTGAGAAAAGTGCAAATATGAGTAAAATCTCATTCCTTCTTTCAAACACTTTAGACCTCCATTGGAGTCATGATCAAATTACAGAATAATAGTAACAACAGCAGATAGCATTTATCCCCAGACCACTGAGTAAGGCACTTTTAAATACTTCTAATCTTTACACTCACTTCGCAAGTTGGAAATTATCTCAGTTTCACAGATAAGGAAACCAAGGGTCGGAGAAATGAAACTATCTGTGCACAGTTTGCATGCGGCCAGATTTGCATTCTTTTCATTCCATTGTGTTTGGTAAAATATTCCCTTTAAAAGAGTAACATGTATGCCAAACAACTGATAAATGCTCCAAAGAATTACTTGGCATTCAAACCAGATATGATTTATGCTTACAGGGACATCACTACGAACACACATTATTGTTTCCCAATCATGTGCGGTTAGTTTGGCTGTAGAGAGTTCCAGAGGATGGAATTCCACATAATAAAATGGATTACACTGATTTTAACACGGGAGTTAAGAGTGGGGAAAACCAAGTGTCTAATTTCAAGCTGAGGAACAAAAACTTTCATTATCTAGCTCAAAGACAAATAATATAAACACCATTTTAAGCATAGATATGCTATACTTTTCAGAAACTTTACAAACCATTGTCTCATTGATTCTTGAAAAGTAAGCAAACCTATAAACATGTAAAATGATTGTTGATTGAATCAATCAAGTTACTTAACAAAGGACACCTAGCAAGTTAGCGGGAAAGCTAAAACAGGAATTCAGTGCTCTTCCAGCCACAAGGCTGCCTGCACATCCACACAGAGGCTCCATACATGGGCGGAACACACCCGCACCAGAGGCTCCCTGCATGGGCAGGACACACCCATACCAGAGGCTCCGGGCTCAGGCGGGACCACCTACACGAGAGACTCTGTGAATGGGGGGCACACCCACACCAGAGGCTCCAAGCACCGGGGGACACACCCACACCAGAGGCTCCGTGCATGGGCAGGACACACCCACATGAGAGGCTCCAAGCACCGGGAACACACCCACACCAGAGGCTCAGTGCACGGGCAGGACACACCCACACCAGGGGCTCCGTGTATGGGCAGGACACACCCACACGAAAGGCTCCGTGCACTGGGGGACACATCGGCATGAGAGGCTCACTGCACGATGGGGACACACCCACACCAGAGGCTCCGTGCATGGGCAGGACACAACTCACACGTGTTCCCCTCCCCCATAATATGGTCAGGAATATTTTGCAAGTCAGCTATTGCTAATAATAAGAATAAAAGTAGTAACGCTAAGCAGACTTTACACATATTCTCTCCTGGAGGTTGATTTTGTTATAAACAAGTGGACAGATAAACTTTGAATAGAGGAGGAAACTGAGGCAATCAGGTTTTAAGGAGTGTTCCCGAAGCCACACATCTGGCAGGTACTGGAGCAGTCAAAGCCAAGCGGAGCCGATTCAAGTCCCCGAGGTGTGCAGATGCTGGCTTCGGTTAGGTTAACCTCCCCAAGTGTCACCACTCAGGGCTCACGTCCTTTGCGGAGTGCTGAGGAGTCTAGGAAAACTAAAGACTAAATAAATGAAACTTGACACACTCAGACAAAAATCACTATCATCACTTAGTCATCTACCAACTTAGGATGAGAACTCAGTCCTGCTGAGGACAGAGCTATCACTGATGGCAGGGAGAGCGGCGCTTCTAGAGGGAAGCACCTTCCGCTGCCAGGTGGGGTCTGCTGTCAGGTGGGGTCCCGGGCCCAGTTACACATCTGCTTTCCCCAGGGCTGTGAGTCCCCCACTCCCTTGTGCTCGCCAGGCAAGCACATTCATCCTTAGCTTCATGGCTGGCGTCTGAAGGTGCAGCGTTTTTGACTGCCTGGAAAACCTAAGTGAGTGACTACAGGTGTAGCTGGCAGATAATTCACACGTGTTTTCCAGGTTTTCCAGACAGTCATAAACGCTGCACCTTCAGACGCCAGCCACTCACTGCCCTAGAGCACTTTTCACTCCTGGTTCTTACTTGCCTTTCCCAAGGATCCATCCACCTATGTGAAAGGCCGTGATTTGCTTCTTTTCCTCCAACCTGGTTTTCTAACTCTGGAAAACAGAGCTACGGTGTATGACAGAGGCAAAAAAAGTTATATTCCTAAAAAGCACCTGACAAGATTTGGGGATCCGTGGATTCTCTTGTTAGGTCTGTCTTTAGAGTAGAAAACGCAAAACTACAGTATTTGTTGTTGATACAAACCTTTCTTTCAATGTCTTCACAAAGCCTTGCATCTTCTTTATCCTAGTATTAAAAAGTAAATACAGGAATCAACTATTGCAAGAAGGATGTTGTAAAATAAATCCTTAATCTTCCCCGCCTCTACTCAGCTTCTCGGGGAGGTCAAATTCTTTCTCATAAACATCATTCAGGAGCTTGGCGTAAAGCCTCAAGCCTCATCCTCACTATCGACTCACGGCTCTGTTCATCCTACTTCCTTCCATTTTGTTTCCTATTCTAAATTCTTTTGTTTTTATGTACATCTTTTTGATCATTCTTACGCAAAAGGCAGCATGTCATACCTGTATTCTCTGTTGCACTTTGGTTTTTTTTCACTTAATATAACATCTTGGAGCTCCCATCCTTCAGCTGTATAAGTCTATCTAATTATTTTCACAGCTGTATTGTATCCCATTCTATTGGTAAAACACTAGTTAATCAACCAACCCTGTGGATGAGCATTGCATTTGTTTCTATTAATAGTCATAAATATACTGTAATATATTAATATTTGTATATTAATATAACGTGCACAGGATGCTCTTGGAGGAAGAGAAAATCATCACCCCAAAATCAGAGTCCATCTCCCTCTCCCTGTCCTTCTCTCTCTTTATTGAATGTTAATATAACAAATATTAATAGTTGTTAATTAATATATTTGTAAGATATTCCTATCATAATAATGGTTAAAAAAATGTGCAGAAGATATTCCCAGCTATGATAATACTGGTTTAAGAAAAGTACAGGTTTAATTTTAATAGAAAGAGAAAAAACTCTTTTCCAAAGGCTGCATTGATTCATACATGACCCTAATAAGAAGCATTGCTGCTTTTCTGCATCTATATTGATATAAAAATATAGTATTCAATTACCTGCAGGAGGGATATTGTAAAACAAATCCCTAATCTGGATTTATTAAGCACTGGACATCGTCAATCCGATTTAACAACAAAAAAAACTCATTTTTATTATCTGCATTGCTTTAAGTAGGAATGATACGGACATATTTCCTTATGTCTTCTGGAAATCTGTATTCCTCTTTGTGAATTTCCTGTTTGTCTTCTTTGCCTTTCTTTTTACTGGGCTTTGTGTTAATGATTTATGAGACTTGTGTAAATCAAGAATATTTGATTTGTATTGCAAATACTTTCTTCCTTATTTTGTTTAGCTTTTGACTTTATGAAGTTTTCCAAAGAGAAAAGTTTGATTTTCATGTAGATAAACACTAAGGCTTTGGAGATAATTACTCCTTCTGACATAGCCCTTTGAGACTCACTGAATATCCACCTTCATCTTTAGTCCCCTCTACTGGGGCCACGCTCAGCTCCTGCTTGGCCACACTCCAGCCTCAGGCCAGTGGCCTTGCAATGCCCCACGCTGGACCACTGCCGCACACTGGTCACCGAATATCTTCCAGAGTCTCTATCAAACTCAAGATCAGTTACTCCTGTGTGCAAAGTGATATGAAAGGCACTAAAATGACACCAAAATGAATTAAGTCGAGACTCTTCCTTCAGAAAATGTGAATCGCTCAGAAGAGGCAGTAGACGTACACAAACAGCTCTAACTAAAGCCAAATTGTGCTTTGGATGGCGTAGAAAGGACAAACAAAATACCAGTGGAGGTTAGTGGAGGAAGAGACGCTCCCTGGAGAAGAAGGATCCAGGGAGCTGTAAGGACGAGGCTGGCTCTGCAGCAAGCCCTGGAAGTGGGTGAGAGCTGGAAAGGCAGAGGCGCAGCAGGCATCGGGCACAGCACCAGAGAGGCCTGAACATGCACAGGATGCTCTCGGAGGAAGAGAAAATCATCACCCCAAAATCAGAGTCAATCTCCTGCTCCCTCTTCCTGTCTCTCTCTCTCTTTATTGAACACACAAAATTACCCATGAAATTTTTAGACAGCTTTTTCAAAAGTAGGAAACACCTAAATACTATTAAAAAGGTTGATAACAAGGAATCAGAGAAAAACCTGAGCGCCATGATGCCCGACCACTCCTATGCATAACCCTTCTGTAAAGCACCCCTCAGAGCTGGCTACAGACCACACGGAGATACTCTCAAGGATAGGAAGCTCGTGTCATCCTTGGAGAGAGCGCTGTGTACGTGGCCCATGGATATATTTTTTTGGCATTGCCATTCATACTTTCCAACTTGCTTCAGAAAGGGATCGAACCTTTTCAAAACCGTTACACATTGCTTTACAAACTTCGCAGGTAGCATAAATTAAAAAGTGCTGCTTGCACATAAGATGTTTTAGAACCAATGAGTCCAAACAAATCAAGCACTAAGAACTGGAGAAGGCCGGGCGCGGTAGCTCACTCCTGTAATCCCAGCACTTTGGGAGGCCAAGGCGGGTGGATCATGAGGTCAGGAGATCGAGACCATCCTGGCTAACACAGTAAAACCCCATCTCTACTAAAAACACAAAAAATTGGCCAGGTGTGGTGGTGGGCACCTGTAGTCCCAGCTACTTGAAAGGCTGAGGCAGGAGAACGGCGTGAACCCAGGAGGCAGAGCTTGCAGTGAGCCGAGATCACGCCACTGCACTCCAGCCTGGGCAACAGAGCAAGACTCCATCTCAAAAAAAATAAAAAAGAAAGAACTGGAGAAAATCCCAGTGTTCCAATGTTAATAACATTCCATTTTTAAGGATGAAAAAATGTTATTACAGTGCCCAGTATCGTCAGAATTGTCGTATGTATAATTAACACGTTTAAAGTATTCTGAGGATGAGGAAGTGTCATCCAAAAGCACAGTTCTATTTTTGCTTTTGATTTTGATTGCTCCCACTTCTATGCTACTGACATACATAATTGTAAAATACATGCACCCTGGGCTGTGGCGTGAGGAGGATCCCATCAGAACACTTGCATCTGAATAGCTCCTTCAGGCTGGGATTGTTTTAAGTGCTCCAAATGACAACACCGTTGGGGCCAGGCAAAGCATGGAACAGGGAGTTAGCGCAGGACGGGGAGCTGGCACAGAGGGTCGGTGTGAGGAGATGAAAAGGTGTCCAACTAGACAGTGGCCGTGACTGTGCAACATGGAGAACATGATTAATGCCACTGAACTGCACATTGAAAATGGTTAAATGGCAAATCGTGTTTTTATATGTTACCACAAAAATCATTTGTATTTTACCACAAACATAACACATCTTTGTGATCAAACATCAGAAATATTTTTTATATATAGGAGTAGTAGTTATTTTTCTTTCTAAACAGGGTCTCTCTCTGTCACCCAGGCTGGAGTGGAGTGGCACAATTGTAGCTCACTGCAGCCTCAACCTCCTGAGCTCAAGCGATCCTCTCCCCTTGGCCTCCCAAGGAGCTGGGACTGCAGGTGCACACCACTGCATCTGGCTACCTTTTTTTGTTTTGCTAATTTTTTGTAGAAACAGGGTCTCACTATGTTTCCCAGGCTGGTCTCAAACTTCTGGCCTCAAGCGATTCTCCTGCCTTAGCCGCCCAAATTGCTAGGATTACAGGCGTGAGCTGCTGTGCCTGAACAATACATATTTATAAATAAAGTTTATAATATGTCTTCTTACAACTTTGCAAGGTAATTAGCATTTTACTCCAGGATTACATATTTAAGTAACTTCATCATAGGCAACTGAAAGCAAATCCACAGATATTTATTATACACCTACTGTATATAAGACACTGAATGACACGTAAGATGACAGGGCACAACCTCGGTCTTTGAGGAGGTCAAGCCAGCAATCCTATGCCTAAAAATTTTAATATAATCAATACCAAATAAATGTCATATGATTAATTTGTCACATGAACATATAAATGAAATGCCAGGTGAACTACAGTTCATTGAGAGCAAGGTTAGCTCACTGTGGCCTATTGGCCAGGAAGGGCTAATTGAGCCCTGCTTCTTTTTAATTGTTATTACAGCTATTATAATGCATATAAAATGCTTGCTCTTCTTGAGCCCTCAAAAACATGGGCCAAATTTTAGGGCCAATTACCTTCAACCCCATGGGTTACTTCACATCAACAAAGCTTTGTTCCAGTCATGTTAGAAGCAAAGACGGAGCTGTTAGAACTGAAACACCTGAGCTATCCTGCACCCCTGGAAGCAGCAGGTAATGCCAACCAAGCAGCGGTATCTACGAGGGACACAGTGTGAAGCCTGATACAGAAAATACCTCTTCTGGGAAGTTACATATAATCAACATGGTTCACTGGAAGAAGAAAACACAGCCTCTGAAATCGCTCAAAACAGGGTTCCAATCCAAGCCCCATCACCTCCTGCGTGACACCAAAAAGCTACCTAAACTGCCCATCTCATTGTTTTTAATCTTGTTTATTCTGCCTTCCTTAGAGAGCGACTGTGCGGTAGAGACGGAGCCAGGTATACGGGAACAGCTGTGCAGTGGCTGGTGCACGGTGAAGCTCGGGATGCCTTCGTGTGCTCCCCAGCCCTCCCTGTCCTGTCTCCCGTCATTAATGCTTGGGCAAAAGAGCCAAGGTATGGCTGTCCCTATCACCTTTTTCCCCAGCAGCTTAGATCCTTGGCCCAGATACCTAAGGTCTATAGGTGCTTGGGTTTGCCACTGAATTCCAGTGATAGTGCTTACATTAAGAAAGACATTTTGATTCACTCTAAGAAATCAAATCTGCTACTGGCTGTTAGCAAGTCACTAATATGCATGGATCCCCTCAGCAGCCTGAGTAGATTTCCATAACAAGTCAGTTAAGCACAGATGACAAATTCAACCACCAGTGTGCACAAGGCATTGAGGAGAGAGCATAAACTCACTGCAGTCAGAGGGCCTAGGTTATATCACTACTGAAATATGCTATTTGCATAATAGCACCCTCTCCTCGAGGGTAAGCTAGGTAAGCCAGTGGCTTGTTTGCCCTCTTAGCCTAATGCGCTGAGACAAGCGTCTGCATTCTCATTCCTGCTCTCAGAACATACCCTTATCCTTGACAGAGAATGCCAAAGAAATGAAAAACTGTCTTTGCTCTTCATCTAACAGTCCTCCCTACTCATCCAGATACAGACAGGATACCTTTCCACAACTATCCAGGAATATAAGGAAGGAAGAATGAGCTGTTTTACAAGTGTATCCTCTTTGACTGTCTGTTTTAGATCAGAAGCTGCTTTGGTGTTTTCTAAAAAACCTGAACTAACTTCCTGAGGACCCATATCCCTTCCAACAAACACCTGTTCCAAGTTGTGTCAAGCACTGGGGGTGGCCTGCGTGGCTCCAGCACCCGCGCACAAGCTTCCTAGGGGTCACTCCTCCCCTTTCTTCGAGGTGGCAGCCAGGAAGCTGCAGGGCAAGTTTAAGAGAGAAAAAAAAAAAAAAAAAGTGACTCCTGGCAGGGCGGCGAGTGTCCCTGCCTGTTTACAGCCCTGGAGGATAGACTCAGATTGCATCTCTCAGACTTAATGAATCCAGGAGCTCATTACACGGCTTCCTGTGTGATGATCAATTTACACAGCTTCCTGACTGCGGCCAAACTTAAAAACAAGAGATTACCTTGAAACAAAAATAAAGATCCAGAGACAGAATTCTGAAAACAAAGTCCTCAAAGTCTACTTCTTAGCTAAAAATGGAGCATTTAAAGTAAATTCTGTTTTCCTGATACACGTATTTTATGCGGACGATAAGTTGCATAATCTCATAGAGGATCACAGGCACACGCTCCCTGCATGGAGGAAGTCTCCAGGACATCCAAAGAGGAAGAAGAGCGAGTGAGAATCCACACTCTGCCAAGCATCCCGTGCTGGCTTCCACTGCCATCTGCACATGAGCACTGCACACCCTCACCCTCGTTCTCCCCGGAGGGACTGGCTACTATACCACACCGCGAACCACGCCAGTTGGTGCCCCAGGTGTCCACTCCACACAGCCACCTGCACACCTGCTGCCTTCCTTCACCTCCCTGGACGTTCCCTGCTAAAAGCACATCTTGAAACTTCCTGGGGAAAAAGTTTTTAGGTTTGTGACTAGAAGTACAGTGGAAAGTAATTAGGACAAGTGTAGATGCAATTAAAATGACTCATGTAACTGTCTGGCACAGGAAACAAGATCATGTCCACAGCTGCCTAGGAAATGTGCTCGCTTCCAATTCCACGCTGGCTTGTGCTTTGGAACTGACCTGTGATCTCGGATCCTTTCACCACCAAACGTAAGCTCTGTTCAGCGTGTTAGGTGCCTTAGATCCAGGCCATTAAACACAAAATAAAATGAACTCACCTTGTTGCCCTCAAAATCAGGGGTGTTCTCATGTATCTCTTCATCTTCTTTAACTATCTCAGCTTGTCTCTGGGGAGAAAATACACCACATTTTATCAACTGCTTATGTTGAACTCCTTTAAAAAATCAGAGAGCACTTGAAATAGTGTCACCTTCTAGACCACTTCTACGGGTAGAGCTGGGGAAGTCACTGCAGTTTCTCCAAATACAGAATGGCATCCACTCCGCATTTTTGCGTTTGGCTCCACCAGCAAAACGTCAACCTGTTTGGTAAAACTGCTGGAGAAACCTCTTTCTTATAAGGAGTGGCATGGGTGCTCCAGAGGCCTCTGGTCAGCAGGTGCTTTTGTAATTCTTGGGGCACCATAAGGACCCCACCCAGGGCCCTCTGCTCCCTGGTCAGCAGACGCCCTCCACAGCCTGCCTGACCTCACTCCTCATACAGCAATGGGTTCTCACTCTCCATCGTTATTTCCTAGTTTTCATGGCGCACTGGCAAAAGACAAGGATCTGTGTCCTGGAGCTTCTCTCTGCTCTTGGGGAGAATAATGTGGTTCTGTGGCCAAAGAAAAGACTCTCTGGGACAAACTTCCTTTATATTTCTGTAGCTGCCAGGACAGGCTGATGAGGCTGCAATAATAAGCCAACCAAGTATGCGTGCTGCACTGTGGCTGGCCAGGGACGTCCCGTCCCCACAGCCACTCAGAAAACCCACTGATGGAGGCCCTGGCGCCTCCTACTTCCTGATTGCAAAGGAAGAGAAGAGAAGATGCAGTGTGGGAAATCACACACTGGCTCTTCATGCACCTGCCTGGAACCACTCACATGTCACCAGGGAAGGCAGGTGGCATGGCCACCCTGAGTCAAAGCGGGTAGAGAAGTGCATCCTCATTGTGTGACCAGAGCAAAAGAACTGCCATTAGTAATGAGCCAAAAAGACCCAACGGCTCCTGCCAGCTGACCTTGGATGTGCAAGAACAGGGTTCCGTGGCGAGGCAGACACGTACGTATGTCTTCAGTATGGCCGACCCCATCAGCCCAGACCTCAGACCCTCTGAAAACTCAGACCAAGCCTGCATGAGCATTATCTTCCTACAGCTTATGTAGAAAAGCAGTCACAATGAATAAAACTCTATAGGGAGTGCTCAAACCACATAAAAAGTAAGCTTTGTAACAACTTATTATTTTAAAGAATAATCGACATAATGTCAATCAAAAACATGTTATTTTAAAGAATAGTCGAGGTGATGTCAATCGTTGACTCATTCATTTATTCAGCAAGTATATAGAGGACACCTGCCATACTGAACACCACAATGCCAGAAGACACGAGTGACTGTGAGCACAAACAAGGCCCTCAAGAAGTCGAGAGCCTTATAGGGAAGACATATTAATTAAACAGTCACACAAACAAAACAACCATGACAGGTGCTACAAGGAGAGGTACATGGAACAGAAAGAGAATGTAATCGTATTTAACATACATGGGAGAGCAACAAAAATATCCTCTGGTAATTGACTGTTACTGTAAGATCTGAAAGATGAAACAAAGTTAATATATAAAAACAGATGGGAAAACATGCCTGGTGCATGGAGCAGCATGTGCACAGCCCTGCTGCAGGAAGAAGCACTGAGCTTCAGAGTTGCTGGGGATCAGTGCCTGAAAAGCACGAGTGACAGCAGCAATCTAACCAGAAGAGGATGCTAAGTAGGACCAGAGCGATGGTAACACAGGCAGAGAGGGGTGCAGAGATTCCGACACATTTAGGAGGTAAGACTACAGAGTCCAAGATGATCTGGATATGGGAGAGGTGAAGGGGTCAGTCTCAGGAATACCTCTTCAGTTTCTCTTTGGTCTTACGGAATGGATGGGGGTGTCATTCATGCATGGATACAGGAAGAGAAGAAGGTTTGAGGACAGGGGACGGAGACCGTGAGTTGCGTTCTCACTCTGCTGAGCTTCAGTGTCTTAGGAACATCTACGGGAGGTGTTAATTCAGCAGATGTGCATATATTCCCGGAGGTCACAGTCACTGACGCTGGGGTGATACGGAATTTTATATCACATAGAGAGGACGTCCAGAGTGAGAGGAGAAGATGCCCTACCCCTCATCCTTGCTGAATGCCAGCATCTGATGGCCAGTGAGATGACCAGAAGCCTAAGAGAAGGACAACAAGTGGCCAGAGGGAAAAGGGAAGTCAGGAGTCTCGTTTGACAAGATTCCCTTGCCAAAGAAGAGAGCATTGCAAGGAAAAGAGAGTGGCCGGGAGCGCCAATGGGTGGTGAAGGTCCTGTGCGATGAGAACTGGGGAACGTGTTGGGTCTGGTGGCATGGGGCGGAAAAGCTGTTTTGTGCCACTGTGGGCAGAAGCCTGAAGAGATAAAGAAGAGGGGAGAAGATGGAGAAAGTGAGGAGACGCCACTCCCTGCAGATCAGCTCCACGTGTGAAGGAGAGAGACACGCTCAAAGAGGACTGAGACCAAGGAAGAGTTGTTTTTACTCATAACACGAGTGCTTTCAGCGTGCTCACATGCCAGCCAGAAGGACTCGGGCATGGGAGAAGCTGAAGACACCAAGGAGAGTTATTAAGCAGTTGATGACAGAGTTCCTGAGAGGCTCTGAGTGGGACAGGGTCCAGCATCTGGGAGTAGGGGAGATATGGGTAGGGGAGGACGGACCTCTCCTTCTATGATGAAGAAGGGGCAGATGGCACAGATTAAATATTATCCTGTACCCTGACAGCTGCCAAGCTCACAGCCATTCGCTACCTTGTTTCTCGCCAAAACACACACACACACACACACACACACACACACACACACATTTGGCCAGGTGTGGTGGCTCATGCCTATAATCCCAGCACTTTGGGAGGCTGAAGCAAGTGGATCACCTGAGGTCAGGAGTTCAAGACCAGCCTGACCAACATGGTGAAATCCCGTCTCTACTAAACACAAAAAATTACCCGGGCATGGTGGCGCATGCCTGTAATTCCAGCTTCGTGGGAGGCTGAGGCAGAAGAATCACTTGAACTGGGAGGCAGAGGTTGCAGTGAGCTGAGATTGTGCCACTGAACTCCACCCTGGGCAACAAGAGCAAAACTCCATCTCAAAAAAAAAAAAAAAAAAAAATTCAAAAATTCAAACTTTTTTCAAATACTATTCATACATTTCAGGGGAGCCTGAACCCCTTTCCAGACACAAGTAGTAAAGGTTGATGCCTCTAAACCACCAGAGGTCAATCGTCTCTCCCTGGCTAGGGACAAGATAGGCATAGACACGCGGCAGCTTTCAGAAGGGTCCCCGGGAAAGCCTTTCCCCGCTGTTTAAACGGTGCAGTCTCTCTCCTCTCTCCAGCATTCCATGTCTCAGGGTGCCAGCCATAGCGGACATGCCACCTCGAGATCATGAGGAGACAAGCCCAACGCCAAAGGCGAAGGTGCAGAGGGAGGCAGTGGAAGAATGGGGTGCCCAGCCACATCCCGAGGCTCGAGGGGGCCAACCCCAGAGCCTCTCCCACACAGAAGGCTCAAGTCCTTCTGTGACATGGCCTGAGAAATATTCCTGATTGTTGAAGTCACTTCTCTTCAAGTTTCCCGTTCTTTAGAGCCAAAACATCCTTATAGATAGAGTGGCTAATTCTACTTCTAATTTATTCATTAAAGCAAACAACCCAAGGACCCAAGTGGCCTCCATCTGAGTTACTCTACACAGCTAAAAGTGCCAAAGCCTAAAGCTTCCTTAGATCTTTTCTAATTAAACAATTCACAGATTACCCAAGTTTAGATTGACCTTTTCCTAATGAGTCCCAATTATTTTGGTTTCTCTTTGGTTGGTGACTTATTCTCATCTCTTTCTCCGGAGGGAAATGCATTACACCCCTGGGAGGCGCAGTGCAGGGGGCACTGCCCTAGTTGCTATTTGAGAATCCAAGGAAAGACACTCTCTTTTTGCACTGACTCTTTGAGACTCTCTAAAAATAACTGAATTTCAGAAGAGTAGAAATGGACCCAATCCTTTGTGATTTCAGTCAAACCAAGATTCTCGCGCATCAGCCGAAGACCTGGGGTTTGCACAGCCTACTTACCACCTGGGGAAGGATGAAGCAGCCTGCTCTACTAAAATGGAATTGGCCATGTTCAGAGTAAATTCTAGACTATTTCCCTGAGAAAGGAATTCCAGGTGAGTGTCCCGGGCCCAGCAGGGTTTCCAATTGTACACATTTGCCCACCTTCTTAAAGTAGTTTTGAAAATAAATATAATCTTATCACTGGAAGAAGACTTTGCTTTTGTAAAAATGTAGTACTTGAATCAGAATTTCAACATTAATGTTTTAACATCTGGGTGCCATTTTTTTGCACAGATTGTAAGAAAATTGTTCCTTAACATTGAGGTAAAATGACTCGAGACTTTAACATAAAAGTTCACTGCTCTCTAAGAATGAAAGCTTATCGGGCAGCAGGCACACAGGCCATGCACCCCCGCCCATCTACAAATTCCCTCTCCTGATGGAAATGGTGGGGGAGGGGTGGATGCCAGGGGGATACATTACCTGCTATTATAACCAAAGATAAAAAAAAGTTTGAAGACAAATTATAATTTCTTAAAAATGAAAACTCAAGAAAGGAGAGAACGCAGCCTAGGAGGGAAAAGAAAAGCAGGAGCGGTCATTAAAGCCTGGCGATAATTCATGCCACAACCACCAGGGAATCGCCTTCTCTCTGACAGCCGGCCACGCCCCACAGCTTCCACCCCGACACGCTGTCCCTCTTGCTCCCATTGCAATTCCCACAAGCTAAGCCTTCCATCCTATTCACAACCACTTAGTTCAGGACAAATGAGTTTCAGTGACTCTGAAGCTTCCCCACTTTTATGACCCAGGTAACTGAGATCACTGGATTAACTCAAGGTACCGCTTCCCTAATGCAGAACCCCAATCTTGATTCTCTCATGAACCACAGATGGGCACCCACAGAACTCTGTGAGGGTCTCCATGTCAAGTTTGTGCTATAAGAATGAGCTTTCAAAACAGCCAGGAGCCTTGAGACGCCAGTGTGAACCTCCCAACACCCGCAGGTAAGCCAGGGGCTCTGCAGAAACCCCTGTGTCCGTTGACAGAGACTCAGGTGACCGAAGCTGGAGGACAGAAAAGTGACTTGTATGATTAAAAGTATGCGTTGTTTTGTGAGTAAATTAATAAGAAAACAATTGAAGGCTGGACAGGAAAAAATGAGAACATTCTAGAAATCCAAGTACCAGTCAAAATGCACAATGAACAGTCATCTTGCACTGTCAGGAAGACCAACACCCAGCACCACCAACGACCTGGTTTCCCAGCTGAGCCTCCAACCCTCCCTGCCCACACTCAGTGAGGCTGTGCTCCATTCTGTCCTCCCCTACACAGCTACAAGATGTTCCAGAACTGACTTACAAGTACTGGGAGAAGCTCCTAGACACTTGAATAAAGGAAAGATGACAGGAAAGGGGGCTGCAGAGGCAAAGTCTTATTTATCATCACAAATCGTAAAGATCATATGAGATCACAGGGGCCAAGGACAGGTCATATCCCTCATTTATCCAAACCTGACAGTGGGAGTTGAGTAACAGAGACTGAAGGTGCCACAGAAAAATCGAAGCATCCTCCCACAATGGACATCCTCCACGGATGCTCGGATGCTGTGCTGTTAGTGTCACTGACCACAAAGCAATGGCCTGGGATTTGGAGGACTCTGCATTCTTGGGGTTCCCTTCGTCAACCTAGAAGGCTTGACTCCAAATTCACACATTTACTAGTTGGGATGTTATATTTTGTAATATTTTATCTTTATGGTGCCACTACACGGGAGAAAGCATAATACTGCAGACACAGTGAGAAACAGCATGTAAGATGCTCAGGCGAACCCACAAAGTTAAAATCCATTACTCAAAAACAGGAGACAGTATTCCAGATTACTAAAGAAGTCAGCACCATGAAGGCATAATATTAGGGCCAAACCGTCCTTCACTAATGGCCTGGAAAGTTCTGATGGCACGGATATATGCACCTTCCCTGTGTCCATGGGGATGCCAGTCACCCTGACGCAGAGCCAAGAGGCTGCCCAGCAGGCAGCACAGGCCCAGAGTGGGGCCGGGCAGCCAGCCACCCTCACACACGTTCTCCAGGCTTGGCTCACTTGGACACAGCCCCCCACCCAGTCCATGACTGTCCCAGGAACAGAGGGTCTGCACAAACCACATCCTATGTTCCTGCTCCACAGGAAAGAACGAGGTCCTTGGACAACTGCACACAGGCAAGGCCTCAACTGTGTGTCATGAACAGTCCCACCAACAAAACGTTCCTGGGGAGATAATTAGGATTAACCAAAAGCTTATATATAATTTTAACTCTAGGACTTCTCTGAAACAATGCACTCATATGCACTGTGATTCCCCCAAGGAGAGATATGAGGGGGAGCTTCTCACATGTGCTTTTTCAAAGATGCAGAATGCAGTTTGGGCAACACCGCTCTGTCTACACGGCCTGAGCTTCATGCCGTGCCTCTGTTGATCGAGCACATGGGATTTTCTTGTATCCACTTCTGGCAGATTTCATAAGCCTTTGTGAAACACCCACTGCGTGTCAGGACCCGGCGAGTGGGAGACAAGGTGCGTCAACGTCCTCCCCGGGTGTGCTGTGCAGTAAGGGTCCTCCCGGCACTCAGCTGTCCCCAGCATCCCAGCTGACAGCCGCTCTTTCTGCTCTCGCCATGTGCAGAGAAAGCAGAGGGAGGACGGGTGACCTAGCTCACCCTCAGGGGGTCTTCCTGTCCACAGACAATGGCTGAGAGTCTGTGTCTGTGTTGCTCAAAGCCACAGGACCTGTGTTAATATTGTCGCTTGACAGCGAGAAAGTTCCGTTCACTGAGACTTCGCCCCACCTGGCGTGGAGAATTGCTGCACAGAAAACTCTTTCTGGAAGACCCTCCTCCTCCATGGCTGGTGGGTGGAGCATCCCAGGGACCTGCCGGCCCTCTTCCCTCCTCTCACCTCACATTAGTGTGGGGTACCCGAATTCACTCCACAGCCTCAAAGATGACGGAAATCAGAATCACCGGCAACCAAAACTTACGAATATGTTTATTATATGCAAAGTTACGACAACAGTATTTGTCATCTGAGGATTCTGCCTCTGTTGAAAATTTGTGTTGGACACACTCAGTCTACAACCCAGAAAGCCACAGTAACATCCTAGTGACAAGGGTACATTTGGCAAACAAGTCACAGCCTAAAATGTCCTAGTTTCCTTATCACTAGAAAACTCCGAAATGGGCAATATGAAATATTTCAACTGCTAGTTTGGATTTTCAAAGAAAATGAAATCTTTCAGTCACCTTTGTCACGTCCAGGAAAAGAGAAAATAATATTACTAGAAATTTAGAAAATATGACAGGACTCATAGGAAAGGTGCTCAAAACGCCGAAAAAAGGAAGTGGAAAGCTAGAATATTGAGATGCAGTCTGTAACATTTTTCAAATGTATCACAGAAAATAAGAAATACAGCAGAAGTTAAAAAAACAAAGTGCCAAAGTTAAGAGTGATCCACTCGGAGAAAGGAGTGGAGAAGTTCACTGGATACCAGAATTTGGTGCTTCACAGTTACAAGAGCAGGGATGGAGCCTCATCTATTTCAGAGGAATAAAAACGGAACCCTGACGCTAATATTGACCTTTTAGAGAATATACATTTTTTGCTCAAAAACCAAGAATTGGAAATGTATTTGTTTTGCCTTCAGGTGGGTAGTGAAGACAACGCGTGCATTTTAGGAGATCATTGAGCACAAACTGCCATTTGCCCGAGTGCTGGAGACTCACCAGGTGCACAGCTGGGCTGGAACCCTGGCCTGACCCCACCCATTCTCAGAACCCTGCTCCCCACCCCTCCCTGAGGCCAGGAGGAGGGAACAGTGCCCCAGTGTCCTCCATGCGCCAGTGCTGGTCGCACACCCAGGCCACACCAGCGTCCTCCATGCGCCAGTGCTGGTCGCACACCCAGGCCACACACAGGCCTGCACAGAGACAGCATCCCCATCTGTGGATAAGGAAATAGAGGCTCAAGGTTTCACAATCATGCCATCCGATCACACTGTTTATTCCATTATTCAGTCATCACTCCACAAAAAACTACGAAGGCCTCCTCCATGCCAGGAATTCTGCAAGGTACAGGGCCCAGTGGTGAGTGAGGCAGCCAGTGCTTTCCTTATGGAGTTAGTAGCTTAGTGAGGGGACAGACACAATCATCAAATAATGATGAAGCCAAATTTGCAGTCACACACAGTGAAGTGTTAAAAGGCGTCTCTCCAGCAGAAGCTGTGGGGGCGGTGGGAAGACAGGAAAATGCTTGACAAAGGATCTGAGATGAGCAGTCTCTAACTAGGAGGAACACAGAACATTCTAGAGTCCAGAGAGAATTTGCAGGGAGAGGGTTAAGGATGACGCTGAGACAGGCAGGAGCTGCTGGGATGGAGTGAAGGCAGCATGGACATCAGACCCCCGATACCCACCTGGTCCACAGGCACCTCTAGCTGCACATTGTGGTCCTCTTTGACGTCCAGCGCCCCTTGGGTTTCCTTGCTAGGAGTCAGCGCTTTATACACGTCACCTTCTGGGGGAAAATCACACGGACAAACCTTTGAAACCCATAGAGAAGCTGGAGTCCACTGCATATTTCCTGACCCAAACCCAAGTTATGAAGCCAGGCATCCTGGAGCTTCGGGCAGGTCACCTGGCCCAGGGTCCCAGACCCCGTCCGCCTCACCCCGTTGCCCTCTCACCCTTCCTGTTTGCATCTGCCAAGGTGTTCAGTGTGGTGGCCTCGATTTTAGCCCCATCTGCTTTTGTCTCTGTCTCCATGAAGGTCCCAGACCCTGAAAGTCATGCAATTACTGTGCCCACCACAGTAGTAGTCAGTAGTCACAGAAAGTCATGCGATTACTGTGCCCACCACGAGATGAAGCACAGGGAAAGCCTGTGTCCAGTTAATTCCATTAGAAATAAATACATGCAAAGTAACCCCACTGGACAGCAAAGTAATAGAATAAATTTTAAGAAAACACAGCTTCAGTCAGGTGCAGTGGCTCACGCCTGTAATCCCAACACTTTGGGAGGCCGAGGTGAGTGGATCACCTGAGGTCAGGAGTTCGAGACTGACCTGGCCAACCCGTCTCTATTTAAAACTACAAAAACTAGCCAGACTTGTGGTGGATGCCTCTAATCCCAGCTACTCAGCAAGCTGAGGCAGGAGAATTGCTTGAATCCGGAAGGCAGAGGTTGCAGTGAGCGGAGATCGCGTCATTGCACTCCAGCCGGGGTGTCAAGAGCCAAACTGCATCTCAAAAAACAAAAAAAATAAAAAAAATAAAAAAAAGAAAGGAAATGCAGCTTCATTGCTTCTTATTTAACAACAGGGTTCAAACAACCAGGTGCTAAAATTGTGCACTGTGAGGTAGTCAACTTAATGGATTGCTAGAAATTGTTTTAATTAGCAACACAATTGGAAGAATTAAATGCTTATAAAAGCCCAGGATTCTTGAAAAGTTGATTCTCATCCTGAACAAAGCAATAGGTGACAGCAGAAGAAAAAGAGAAGAAGTCAGCCAGCCGGTTCCTTCAACATCCAAAAACAGAAGTCAGCCAGCTGGTTCCTTCAGCATCTGAGAAGGCAGAACTGTGGCCACTGGCAAGCTCCATCGTCCAAAACCAGAAACTCTAATCGCAGCCCCATTCATTTCTCAGCCAAGAGTCCTGGACCCACCTCACCCCTCACCTGGCCCATTCTGGGCCTTCTCCCCGTTCCCAGCCCTTATCCCCAGGAAAACCGTCCCCAGAGTCCTCAACTGAGCCAGAGGGGTCCCTACCCTTGTGGGTGACAGGTTGGAAGGTGAGAGAAGGGGGTGGGGAAATAACATTCACTGGGAACCCACTGTGTCCCAGGCATTTGATATTTAAAGCTCGTGGCAATCCCCAAACAATCAGAGAATCCCATTGCCTTCAGCAGTGAAATTTTGTTTTTCTGCTCTGCCAACTACTGACCTACCTACAACTTACTAGGCCTGTGGTCAGTAAGGAATTGGCCCATAGTTCCATGCTCAGTGAGGGCCTCAGCTAGGATCTGAACTCCAAAGCCACGTTCTAGTACCAGGCTGCCTCCCACATGGAAGGCCTGTGTGCTGGGCAGCCCCAGCTGCTTGTGTGGGATGTACATTGCCAAGGAAGAGGTTTTATACACAGTGATCAAATTTTCTATTACTCTTGATATATAGTAGTATGTCGGGTAGAGTGGGTTCAGCAGGTTTTGGTCTGACAGCTGCCTGTCCACTCTCCTGCCTACATGCTCACACACCTGCCTCGAAGCCTCGTAACCCCAGACCCCTAACCGTGACCCTAACCCTACATGCATCAGCATGTAGGCCACACTCCCGCCCAGGTACTCAGGCACCTGCCTCGCCTCCCCATGGCCCATGCATTCATTGTGGGGTGGGAAGGGCCAGGAAGGTAAAGGACCCGGGGGAAGCTCTAGGGGATGTCCAGATTTATAGCTGAGAAGTAGAGAGAGGAGCAACAGGGGGAGCCAAGAGATCAGAGTGCAAAGAGGACAAAACCTGAGAGGTGTCAGAAGGTAACAGAAGCCAAGGAGGGGCTGGGCATGGTGGCTCATGCCTATCATCCTAGCACTTTGGGAGGCCGAGGCAGGTGGATCACTTGAGGTCAAGAGTTCAAGACCAGCCTGGGCAGCATGGCGAAACCCTGTCTCTACTAAAAATACAAAAATTAGCCGGGTGTGGTGGCAGGTGCCTGTAGTCCCAGCTACTTGGGAGGCTGAGGCACAAAAATCACTTGAACCCAGGAGGCGGAGGTTGCAGTGAGCTGAGATCACACCACTGCACTCCAGCCTGGGCGACAGAGCAAGGCATCATCTCAAAATAAAAGAAAAGAAGAAGCCAAGAGGGGAGGAAGGGTGTTTAGGAAAAACGACTTCCAAAAATGTTCAGCTGCTGCAGAGAAGTGCAGGAAAACCTCTCCCACCACCTTGCTTTCTCCTCCATAACCAGCCACACGACTCACAGTCTAAGTATCCACCACACCCATCAATGAGACGGGACCTGAATGTGCCTCATTCGGAGCTGGGCACCCAGTAGGAGCTCAGTGAGCGTTAGTAATGGTCGCAGAGTGGTAAAAACAGATATAGGAGCAAATTATCCAAATTATCTCATTTTAAAACCAGCTCTGAAGATCCATCATTTAAATGTCTCTTCAAAAAAAAAACACCTAAGCAATCCAGGTGGCTTTTATGTTCATGTTCCTCCCAAAAGATAGATTTATTTGTTGTTTTCTATGTCATTAGTCTTTAGGAAAGAAGATGCTCAGTCCTGATGTAAGCTGATTTTAACACTGTATTTATCTTGGAGGCCCCCTAATTAGAGAATCCCATTGCCTTCAGCAGTGAAATTTTGTTTTTCTGCTCTGCCAACTACTGACCTACCTACAAGCTGAACCTTTTATTAATAAAGCAGATACCCACAAGTCAAATAATATTTCTGGAGTATAAAATTTTTCTGACCAAAAAAAAAAAATCTCATGTTCTTAGCCTGGTAAAGTTTCGAACTGCTTAGAATAGAATGAAATTGCACGTCACCTGCTCCCCTTTGGACTAAAGGTTCTGCCAATGTTTTCTTCTTTTCTTCTTTGGCATAATAAACAGAATCCTGTGTTTTGGGGGATATGCCATCATAGTGATAAGGCTCTTTTCCTTTGGAATCCACCTACAGGACAAAGGAAGAAGAGAAAATCCATTAGGAACACTGGGATACAAGGAGTCCGATCAGGTTCTCTGAGTGTGGTCAGGAAAACACGGGCTCCTCGGAGAAACAGGAGGAGGAAACTCAGGCACCTCCAAGAAGCCTCACTTCAAATGCAGCCTCTTCTACTCTATGACTTGCACTCCTCTCCGAAAAGCAGCAAAAATAATTCTCTCCCTCCCTCCCAGTGCCTTGGCAGGCAGAGGAGGTTCATCCACTTCCCAACTGTAGGTGGCCTTCCTAAAACCTGACAAAATAAGGGCTTGCTTTAGAGGAACAAGCAAGTCAAAGGAGGTGCCTCTGGTTTTTTTGGAGACACTCTTTAAAGCCTAATGAAAACTGCTATTCAACAAGCATCACGAAGCCGTTCCTGCTGGAACCTCTGAGCAGGATGAGAGTAGCTATGATGAAAATTAGCCTTGTGGTGGTTTACTTTGGGGTTGCAATGAAGGAGGACTCACATGTTTTTTAATCTATAAACAATAACAACAAAGCACAACTAGAACACAAAGCAAGATGACATGCAGATATCTGCTCCTCAAATTAGGATGTGGTCACATCCTGATGAACATGTCCTAAGGTGAAAGTATCTACGTGGAAAATGCATTGAATACACCCAGCCCACTGAACAACATGGCGCAGCCCTACCCTAAACGTGCTCGGACACTTACACTGGCCTGGAGGCGGGAAAAGTCATCTGGCACCGCTGTCCACCGCAGAGGGCACGTGGCTGACAGGGAGCTGGGGCCGTCACTGCCCAGCATTCCGAGTATCCTCCGGCTTTCTACTGAACGCCTGAGGCTTTTGCACCATCATACAGTCAAAAATCCGAAGTCGAACTAAGTCAGAACTGCCTGTAATTCCCTTAGCACCATTCCAATTCTATCTTTATAATACAAATATCCCATAAACTATCTTTATAATACAAAATGTCTTTTTTAGGTTTTCTTTTTTTGATCTTTTCTCAAGTATTTGGAAGTGAATGCAGGCTGAAGTATATAAATAGGTATTTCTCCCAAGCTCTCTCTGTCACTTCAGAAATGTCAAACTAAGAACACCTACCTTGTACCATTAATATATTGTATGTGATGCAAACTACCAGGTTTTTGATCTTTGTGGAAATGAAGGTATGAAAATAGCCCTCCAACTTTATACATGCAACCACACAAAATGTTTCTACCTATTTTAAGGAGTTTTCCTATGAGCTGAAATCATGTTCTTAAGGAGAAGAAATGAGATCTTAGCAGAACTGGTCATGGAAACAGAAAACGGTATATGGTACCTGTATTTTGTCTGGGGGTTGGAATTCTGAAAATCTAGCTGATTCTTTTTAGCATCACTGAACTCTGGTTGTTGAGACACATTTTCCATAACTTTGGCCTCTAAGATAAAGACAGTGTGTGTGTGTATGTGTGTGTCCTATTATCTCTGGAATAGCACTCAAAGGACAACGACAAGAACACAGGACCCACCCTCGTAATGAGGGCACAGAAGAAACTGTGACACAGAACACGCAGCAAACAAGAACCGCCCGCGGTGTGACCCAGCTCCCACCACCCTGGGGCACTGCAATGAGACACATCGCAGAGCCTCCACCCGGACCTGGAAAGTCGCCCAAAACGAAAGTAACTTTGGATGCAGCAGGATGACTGGGCACACAGGGGGCACCATGTCATTACACCAATTTATTTCTCATCTCATACCTTATCCAAGCACACTCAGGAAATGTGAGTTTTTGCAAATACGTTATTTCTGTGAAACTGGGAGCAGCACAGGTGCAGCCTCCTGTCAAGTCTTAGCTCAAACTGTCCCTCTGCCCTGTCACTCCCAAGAGGGGTGCCCTGTCCTTTCCCTCTCCCTTCACACTTTAACCACAGCAATATATGTAATCCCTAGACCATTTATTGATGATGTTTGTTGTGTTTTTGTTTCATCAGCAGAAGGTTAGAAGCCACCCAAGGGCAAGGATGTCAGTTTGTTTCTCCATTAATGAATTCCCAGAGCCTAGAACCATGCCCGGCACATAGCAGATGCTCAGTAAGTATTTGTTAACTGAACAGGTGAATAATCCTAGCACACCTGATCACTCCCCACCGTTCAAACCCTTAAGGAGGTAGGCACGGCCTTGGGAAGACATCCAAACTCCTTAACCTAGCACAGTGGCATTCATGCTCCAAGACCTACCTGCCTTCCTAGTCCAAGCCATCCCTCCCTGCACCATACCTGTGCCCCCACAGCTCCCTTCCACCTGGAATTCCCTTCCTCACCTTCTTATGACGGCTCATCCTCCAAACCCCAGCTCAAGCCTTACCTCAACGGTCTCTTTGATGTGTTCCTATGACACCCTGACATAACTAACCACAGCGCTAAACCAAGAGTCAGCTCTCAATATGTGCATGTGTTCAATTCAGCAAGCATACAACAGTTGCTCAGTAAATCTCTGCTAATTTAATGAACTGAGCAGGAGGATGGAAAGAAAGTAGGGAAAGAAGAGGTTGAAAGAGTTGAAAATCTGACATTTCTTGAGACAAGAAAAGGCAGGGCATTGACAGACACAGATTCTTCAGGCCAGTATCTATATTAAGTACATATTTTTTCTGAACTATTTGGGAGAAGGTGTCTTACATCATGCACCTTTGCCTCTTGGTACTTTAGTCCTTAATACTGAAGACATGTGATCTATTTAATACTTCAGGGTGTATTTCCTCACAACAGAAACATCATCTCTCACATAATCACAGACAATTGCCAAATTCAGGATATTCATCTGATATAGTATTTTCATCTATTCTACCATCCATATTCCACTTTTGTAATTGTCCCAAAAATGTGCTTTATAGCATTTTTCACTCAAGAAAAGATCGGTTCAGGATTCACACCACATTTAGATGTCAGACCTCCTGAGTCTCCTTTCACCTGGAACAGCTCCTCAGACTGTCTTTCATGACCTTGGCATCTTTGAAGAATACAGGCCTGTCTTGCATTGTTTTATAGAAAGATCTAGAGTTGGCCATGTGTTAGTCCATTTTCATACTGCTATGAAGAAATACCTGAGACTGGGTAATTTATGAAGAAAAAGAGGTTTAATGGACTCACAGTTCCACAGGTAGGGGAGGCCTCACAATCATGGCACACCTTCTCCACAAAGCAGTGCCCTGTCCTTTCCAGCTAATGCCATCTGCAGGACATACAAATATGCCCTTCCCTCTCAAACTTCCCTGCCCTAAACTTTGGTCCAAACCTTAGGCTGTCCTAGTCAACCTTCAGAATAAAGCTTGTTGATGAACCTCATTTAAGTGGAAGATCTTGACTTCTTAAACAGCATAAATTACAATATGAGTTGGAAAACTCACTGAAAGAAAGCAACAAAATTTTAATTCCATGGAAAAGGGAAAACATAATCTAACCCCAAACACTACATGAGGACCTTACACACTGAATCACACTCAATCCTAGTATTGCACTTACTTTTCTTAATTTTGCTCAGTTTAGACTGGTTTTTCAACGCTGAGTCTCAAAGCAGTTCACAATACTTAGGTCAGAGGACAGCAGAGACTACATCTTCCTAGTTGCATATGATAGAGGTAAGTGACGAGAACTGATGAAGTCGATGCCTCCTCTGGTAACATTACAATTCTAATTTAGTCTGCTCATGTGAACTACCACGCTAATAGACTAAACATCTGCAAAGGTTGAAATAAAGCAGGATTCAAATTTTATTCCAGTTTTCTCGTATCTGAGCAGCAGCATCCTCAACAGTCACTGAGCTCTGGTGGGTGAATTCATTCATTACCCCAGTAATCGCCTACTGAGTGTCTACAAGGTATTCAGCTGGAAAATACATGGCTAAAGAGCATGGTTCTACCCCAGAGAGCGCAGAAGAGAGAAACGCACAGGCACGGTTCTACCCCAGAGAGCGCAGGAGAGAGAAACGCACAGGCACAGTTCTACCCCGAAGAGCACAGTAGAGAGAAATGCACAGGTAGCACCAAGCACAAGTGCCTCACTTGGTTTTCTGTCCAGCCCAAAGAGCAGAGTCCATTCTAAAGGGTGGGCTGTGAAGGATGCTGGAGTGAGCCCAAAAATGGCTTTACAGAGAAAATGGTGCTTACAGTCAGACAATGGGAACAGTCAACAGCAGGACATATATTCCAGGGAGAGAAGAAAACAGATAACAGTAAAGCACTGTGAGACTAGAGACCCCGCACAGCAGTGGTGGGACTACAGCCACCTTGGCAGGTGCTCTTGCATTGACGACACAGAGCTGGACGTGGAAACGAAAGCCTGGGTATGAGCCAGGGTTGAGGGCAAGGAGCCTTCCGTTACGGTGCTAATTAAATTTCCCTTTTAGAAAAATCCGTGACCATTCCAGGAGCCTGGCCGGCAGCGGGCCCTCCTGAGCTGGGTGACATCCCGAGCCGCGCTCACCAGCGCTGGGTCGCGGGACCGCCACATCAGCTGTGTGGTCTCAGGTCCCTCCAAGGTGCGACAGAATAGAGACCGTGCCTGCCCCCCGGGGCTGTGCTGGGGACCACAACACTTCAGAGAGCGAGGGATCGCAGAGCCAGGCTGGCAGTTGGCCAGTGCTCATCCAAACGCCAGAATGAACCTCTGTGAGTGAGTGGAGCAGGTGAGACTTGACTCCGGACACACTGGCAGTGGTTGGGCATCAATGGTGGTCCAGGGAGGGGTGTGGAGGGGCTGTCTCAGGTGAATGAGTGGGTAGTGTGCAGACGTAACCCGAGCACTCAAGGTCCACGTCCCCTCAAGATGAAGTCTAAACTCTTGCCACCCTCCCCCAGCACTCAGCCCTTCACCCAGGCCCAGCCTGCCTCCCCATCCCCGTCCCAGGCAGCCTCACACACGCTTGCTGTTCCCCAGCTTGTCAGTTCCCCCAAAGCCCTACTCTCTCCAAAACAGCTGCCTCCTCTCAGCCACCTGGAGATCTCTCCTACACATCCTCC